CTAATTCTAAACCTTAACCCTGAACTCAAGCCTTAAGCCCTGACCCTAACCCCTAACCACATTAGCTCTAACTCCTAACCCTAACCCTAGGTCATAGACCTCACCCTAACCCAAACACCCCTAACCCTAACAACCCTAATCCTAACTCCTCAACCTTCAATCCTAATCCTAACTGTGGCCACGCTATCTCTAACCACTCTAAAAACCCTGACCCTTGACCACCAATCCCAATGCCCTAACCCAACCCTAATACTAAATCATAACCCAACTTTGAGCCCTAGCCCTAACCATCCTAATCAATAACCCTAATCCTAACCAAAGCCCTAATCTTAACCCTAACACTAATTCAAACCCTAACCCCTAACCCCACCCTAACCTTAGACTGTATCTTGCTCCTCAAAACACACTGTGCCGGCTGGCACCGCGGCTCACTAGGCTAATCCTCTGCCTGCGGTGCCAGCACATCGGGTTCTAGTCCTGGTCAGGGTGCTGGATTCTGTCCCGGTCGCTCCTCTTCCAGTCCAGCTCTCTGCTGTGGCCCGGGAGTGCAGTGGAGGATGGCCCAAGTGCTTGGGCCCTGCACCCGCATGGGAGACCAGAAGAAGCACCTGGCTTCTGGCTTCAGATCAGCGTAGCACGCCGGCCGCAGCGGCCATTGGGGGGTGAACCAATGGCAAAGGAAGACCTTTCTCTCTGTCTCTCTCTCTCACTGTCCACTCTGCTTGTCAAAAACAACAACACCACCACACACTGTGCCTGTTGCTCTCTCTTACATGGCCCAGGATGTTTGGGTCAATATGCAGCACTGTTCTTCAGAAGCAGCAAGCTCACCTCCAGTCTTTTCCTGTAGACTCAGGAGTCAGAGGTCAGGTCCAGAAGGAAGAGGCCCAAATGGTGTGGGTGGTGAACAAGGAACCTGGTACTCCAGCCTGATCCTGTGATCCGCACACTTCACACGAGCAGCCAACCAGTGAGTCCCTAACCACCTTCATTTGTTGTCCTTGCACTCGCTCTGTCCTCTTGACATGAGTCCTGACATCATTTGTAGCATTTGCAGACTCATTAGGGTCCAGGTAGGTGGCTGCACCCATATGCCTTGGCTCCCATGCACCAAAATGCATACTTCCCACCTCCCACTGCTGTGTCCCCTTGAGGCTCAGGTCTCCTCCTGAGTGCCACAGGAGATTCTGGGGGCTGTGAAAGGGTTACCAAGATTATCAGAAGATCCTTGCTGGAGGAAGCTCAGGGGTGGGGCAACCACTAGATTGTGAGGCTGGATGGCACTTGCAGCTCTTCTTCCAGGATCTGTGATATTCCTGGCTTGGTGGAAAATATCAGTGAAAGTCAGTATTTGAGACATTTTTTCAATACTACTAAACTGCTAACTGTTCACATCTATTTTTTACCTCTATTTTCTATACCTCACTGCTTACTAAACCCAGTGAAGATGACTAAGTCTCCCATCTGATCATAGATTTGACTAGTCTGATCAATTTTCACTTTATTTAAGCTAAAGCCAAGATGTACAGTGTATATTGAAAATTGCATTATCACCCTGGCAGATTTTTTATCAGAATAAATCCACCCTATTTCTATAAATGTTTTTTCCCTTAAAAGCAATTGTTAGGGGGGTGAGGATGAGTATTTCTCCAGGTTGTTCAGCAAAAAATAAATAAATAAATAAATAAATAAATAAACATACTGGATTTTTAATCTATTTGCCCTTGTATTGAAGGACTGCATTTCATGATTAGCATCTGGGAGATCTAGAGGGCATGGCCAGGGGCAGGTGGGCTGTCCTGTGGGTAACAGTGGGTGTGGCAGAGGTAAGCTGCAGGCTCATCCCTGGGATGGGGGTGGAATCTAGGGATGTAAATATTGGGCTGTAAAGTGACACAACTTTGGGAAAATCTGCCAAAATGTCTTTCCACGGTGGCTGTGCCATTTTGCATGCTGACAGCAATGAGTGGGCTTCCTGCTGTTCCTCACCCTCCAGCCACGGCTGCTTCGTGCTTGTTGTTGTGTAGGTTAGTAGTCCTGAGAGGTGCACAGCACCATCTCCTCAGTGTTGAGTAGGTTAGCAGTCCTAGGAGGTGCGCAGTGCCATCTCCTCATTGTTTTGTTTTGCAGTTCCCTAATGGTATAGCATGTAGACCATCTTTTTCTATGATTATTTAACAGTTTAGTATTTTCTTTGGTCAGGTGTCCATATATTTGCCCATTTTTAGTGGAGTTGTTCATTGTTGTTGTTTAGGAATTCTTTTTTTGTTTTGAATACACATTCCTTGTCAGATGTGTTTTGTAAAGTTTTTTTCCCAGTCTGTGGTTTGTCTGTGGCTTGTCTTTTTGTTCTTTACACATAATCTGTCACAGAGTAAAAAATTTCATTTTATGAAGCCCATGGTATCAATTTATTTTCTTTTGGGAACTGGCTGCTAGTGTTGTATGTTAGATAAAACTCATTACCAAATGCAAGGTCATATAGATTTTTCTTCTGCTCTTATTTCTAGGATGTTTACAGTTTGGATTTCAAATTTTAGTTTATGGAGTAATTTGTGTGAATTTTTGTACATTTTAAAGTTTTTTTCCTACATTCATTTCAACTCATATGGTTTGTAAATAATTGTTCCATCATCATTTTAAGAAAAGGCATAGCATGTATTCTGGATATATATTCTTATCAGATATATACTGTGCAAACTTTTTTTTCCATTTTGTGACACATTTTGCTGTGACACAGCAAGAGGTACCTACCTGGCCTCCTCTGCCTTGGTTTTCTGGCACTTTGCTCATACTAAGGCTTGGGATGTATGAAGTAATTATCTTTTGGACACAATGACTAATGGCTGGAGACTCCTGTATAGCCCCAGGCTGGCTGATTGCCAGGGAAACCAACCCTGTGTTTCCAAGGAAGTTCCAGCCGTGCCCCCAACCCCCTACCCCTACTTTTGTGGAGAGTATTGAGTCAATCAATAGCCAATCAAATGAAGCCTCCATAAAAATCCAAAAGGACAGGGTTTATATAGCTTCTGTGTTACTGAACATGAGGTGAGGGAGGAAGGCTATGCGTGGATGACAGGAGAGCTCCATGCCTTCCCCACCTACCTTAACCTGTGTATTTCTGGGCCTGGCATTGTGCTGCAGCAGGTTAAGCTGCCCACACCCCGTATGGGTGTGCTGGTTTGAGTTCCAACTTCTCAATACTTCTGATCTGGTTTCCTGCAAGTGGGAGACCCAGATGGAATTCCATATTCCTGGCTTCAGCCTGGCTGAGTCCTGGCTGTTGGGAGTATTTGGGGGAGTGAATCAGGTTACAGATGATCTCTCTCTCCTCTCTCTCTCTCCTCTCTCTCTCTCTCCCTCCCTCTCTCCCTCTCCCTCTCTGTCACACTCTTTGTCAAATAAAATATATAACCCTTTAGAAAAAGACACACAGAGAATTTTGTCAACAGGACACAGTGTTTGGGCAAATTCCACAGCAGACATCACACCCAGGGACCCTCCTGAAAGCTCTAGACCTGAGTTGAGCAGCAAGGCAGGGACGCTCACCTCACCCCTGTATCAGCACTGCACTGCGTGTTCTCTCCAGAACAATGAGGCGAGAGAAAGAAAGAAAGACAACACTAAGGAGTACATAAAATAGTGTTGGAGCTAGTAAACATGCTCAGTGAACTTAAACCACACGATTTTTAAATATTGCACCACTACAGAGCAAGCAGCCTGCAGATTCAGTTAGACTCTTACCACAGTCTCAACGACCATGGACCACAGATTGGGAAAACTGTCCCAAGATTCATATGGAATTTCAAGGGACACAACCTAAATGGTCAAAGCAATCCTGAAAGAAGAAACATAAATTAAGAAGACTCACACTCCCAATTGCAAACCTGAACACAGAACAATGGAAATCAAAGAAAGCATGAGACTGCATAAGCAGAAATGTTCATGAAATTGGGTTGAGAGTGAGTACAGAAATAAAATCATACCATCTATGTTGAATTGACTTTTGACAAGGCTAATGCTGTTAAAGTGGGGGAAAGAATGACATCTTCACAGTGGACAACTGGCCTGGTGGTTAAAGCATCAGTTGGGACATCTGGGTCCCAAGTTGGAGGGCCTGGGTTCGATACCCACCTTCAGCTCCCTGACAATGCAGACCTTGGGAGGCAGAGGTAGTGGGAAAGGGCTTGGGTCCCTGCTGTCCACGTGGGAGACTCGGGTTCATTTTCTGGCTCCCACCTTCAGCACTCCCCTAACTCTAGCAGGCATTTGGAGAGTGAGCCAGAAGACAGCATCTAGCACTCTCTCAGTCTTGCTATCGTTCTCTCCCACTGTCTCATATGACTAGGTAATTTAAAGATTTTCTTAAATAATGATGTCTTCTATGAATGGTAGTGGGCATCTAGCTGGTCACATGCCCTGACCTCACGCTACCCAAAATGGATCAAAAGCTTAAATGTAAGAGGTTACACTATACTCTAGAAGAAAACATTCAGGTAAATCTTCGTGACCTTGGATTTAGCTTTGCTTTCTCAGATCTGACACCAGGAAGCACAAGCAACAGTAGAAAAACCAGATAAGTTGGATTTACCTCAAAACTAATATCTGAAGACACTATTAAGAAAGCTGAAGCCGGCGCCGCGGCTCACTAGGCTAATCCTCCGCCTTGCGGCACCAGCACACCGGGTTCTAGTCCCGGTTGGGGTGCCGGATTCTGTCCCGGTTGCCCCTCTTCCAGGCCAGCTCTCTGCTGTGGCCCGGGAAGGCAGTGGAGGATGGCCCAAGTGCTTGGGCCCTACACCCGCATGGGAGGCCAGGAGAAGCACCTGGCTCCTGCCTTCGGATAGGCGCGGTGCGCCGGCCGCAGCGCGCGGTTCACGGCAGCCATTGGAGGGTGAACCAATGGCAAAAGGAAGACCTTTCTCTCTGTCTCTCTCTCTCACTGTCCACTCTGCCTGTCAAAAAAAAAAAAAAAAAAAAGACCCACTGTTAGACTAGGAAACAAAACAACTGTTTTCTCTTTCTATTGCCCCAACACTCAACACAGAACTTCTGCGACCAGACATGTGGGATTTTTCCCACAACAAGCAATTCTCACATAGAAGCCACAGTACCACAGTTCAATCCAATTATAGTACTATCTACCTGAGGACAGCACAGGACAAGGGTTCAGTCCCACAAGACTGCTCTGCTTCTGATACCAGTCACAAGTCCCCAGTCTACAAACGACTTCCGTCCAACCTCGTCACAAATCAGAGAGCCCTACAGCCCCCTTCTCAGTTTTCATCATCTGCTGGAGTAGTTCACAGAGCCCAGGCAAACAGTGTACATACCACTGCCAATTTATTTACTTATTTACTTTAAATATATATTTATTTATTTGAAAAGCAGAGTTACAGAGAGGGAGGGGGGAGAGAGAGAGAGAGAGAGAGAAAGAGAGAGAGAGAGACCATCCGCTGGTTCACTCCCCGGATGGCTGCAATGCTGGAGCTGTACCGATCCAAAAAACCCAGAAGCCAGGAGCTTCCTCTGAGTCTCTAATGCAGGTGTAATGGCCCAAGAACTTGGGGCATCTTCCACTGCTTTCCCAGGCAACAGCAGAGAGCTGGATCGGAAGTGGAGCAGCTGGGACTCGAACTGGTGTCCATATGGGATGCTGGCACTGCAGGCGGCAGCTTTACCCATTATGCCACAGTGCTGGCCCCACCATTGCCAATTTATTAGAGGCTGTCTAACAGGCTATGAATGAACAACCCCTGTCCCCTGTCTCTCTCTTTGGCTCTCTCACCTGTCTCTTCCCTGTCCCTCTCACTGTGGCCTCTCTCTCCCCCACTGTGGGCTGTCTTCCCATCACCTCTCTCTCTCTCTCTCCTCTCTCTCTCTCTCTGTTTCTTGTATCTTTCTGCCCCATCACCCATCTCTTCCCCATCACTCTCTCCACCTTTCACCTGTCTCTTGCCCCATCACCTCTCTCTCCCCCTGTTGACTCTTTGTGCCTTTCAACTGGCTATCTCTCCCCCGTCTCTCATCTCTCTCTCTCCCCATCTCTCGTCTCTGTCTCTATCCCTGTCTCTCATCTCTCTCTTCCCCTGTCACCTCTCTCTCCCCCAGTCATCTGTCTCTTAGCCTCTAGCCTGTCTCTCCTCCTGCAGCCTGTCTCTCTCTCCACTTGTCACCTTCCCTCTCTCTAGGCCTCTGACCTGTCTCCTCTTTCTCCCAGCTGTCTGTCCCTCTCTCCCACTGCTGCCTGTATATCTCTCCCCCATCACAGGTCTCTCCCACTGTCACCTGTCTCTCTGCCCCTGTTTCCTGTCTGTCTCTCATGCTCTTGCCTGTCTCTTTCTGCCTCTGTCACCTGGCTCTCTCTCCCTGTCACTAGGGTCTAGAGGCCCCTAGTCCTGGCTGAGCTTCCAGTGAGTGGCTGACACCAGCCATGTACTTATACCATCTTGGAAGTGGACACTCCAGCCCTGGGTCAAGAGACCTAGAAGATGTTGCCTGGACTGAAGACAAGCTCCCCCACAGAGCCCTCTCAAGACTGCAGATTTAACAGGAAAATAACTGACTTGTTGCAACCAAGAAAGTTTGGGGTGGTTTGCTACACAGGAATAGATAGATAGATAGACAGACAGACTAGCTAGGACAAGATGCAGCTGCTGATACCAGATGAGCCCTTCCATCTCTTGATATGTCTTTGCCCCCAGAATTTTCTGGTTTGTTCTAGAAAGGGCTGAGGACAGATACCAAGCTGGCCCATTCAACTACCAGCCCACACTGTGACTGGTATAACAAAGGGTGCACTGGGACACAGAGACATGGAGCTGCAGCCACCCCAGCTTACTCATTTGACCCTGGCTTTGGGGGCCACTCAGGAGGGTGCAGGTGTCAGGAGGAGGACAGCTTCCTGAGTGCTGTCCACTCTGCCCCTGAGAACACGAGGTCTCAGTGCAGCGTGAGCTTAGTCTCACCCTGGTGGTACAAACACATCAATGGTGAATTGGCCATGCTTTGTCCCCACCCATCATTTGAGTATCTAAACCGCTGGGTCCTGGGCCATACTCCCAGGTCACCATTTAAAAAAAAAAAAAAAGTGTCAGTTTGCTAGGTGTCAATAGCATTTATACATATTTGGGACAGAGTATGATAATGTGATACATGTATACAATGTATAATGATCAAGTCAGGGTAATTGGCATTTCCATCTCCTCAAACATTTATTATGTATCTGTGTTGGGAACATTCAAACCCTTCTCTCTAGTCTTCATGAAGTATGTAATGACCTGGGGTGGACAGTAGTTACTCTACTACAGAACTACTTTTTTCTGATTGCCTTTTGGTACCCACTACTCAGCCTCTCTCCATCCCCCCTACCCTTCTTAGCCTCTAGCGACCACCATGCACTCTAGGCCACGATTTCAAACCATTCAAAAATACTTATGTAACAGTATGGAGCATAAGAACATAGGTGTTCCACAATACATGGTTAGCAAACATATTTATTTTCCTATTATTCTGCTTTTGATAGACCCGGTGTTCCTCTACCACGTGGCACATCCTGTTGGGTGGCTCCTCACCCAGGGCTACAGCTCTCATTCTACTCTCTTTTTCCTCTTTGGTCCAGCAGGTGGTAAAGGTTTGCCCCATTGTTAGTTCCTGCTTGCTTCATCTTCTCTTTTGGTTCTCTTATCTCAGCCACAGCATGTGTTATGGCCTGAATTATGCCTCTACCACAAACTCATGTTGAAGTTCTAATCCCCACTATCTAAGCTTGTGACTATATTAGGAGATAGGGTCTTTAGAGATGGGACTAGATAAATGAGGACATTAGGATGGGCCCTGTCCCAGTGTGGCTGGAGTCCATATAAGAGGAGAGTATATATCGGCATAGAGGGACAATGAGGTGAAAACATGGGGAGAAGACAAGGAGAGAGGCCTCAGGAGGAACCAGCCCTGCTCTTGGCCTTGACATCCAGCCACAAGACTATGAGCAAATGATTCTGATTCTGAAGCCCCCAGTCTGTGCTGCTGCCCGAGCAAACTAAGATGCCATGGCAACTAGCTCCTTCTCTAAACTGCTTGAGCAGCAGTGAGTACGTGCTGCATCAGACGTCCGATAACATCAGTGGTACCATGGTGTGTCCCGGTAACCCCATGCATGGTAGCTGTCACCACAGTTTTTTAAGTTTGTGAAACTGTCAACATTTATGCCATGAATTCCTTTTAACTGTTCTACTGTGGGGCTCACTCTCACAATAAGGTACTGAAACTGACAGCATTTCTAAAAAGAGGAGCCTGAGAAAATTTAGCTCTCCAGCCTCTGAAACATCTTGTCATTTCTATAAAAGTCCTGTCCCATTTTTAAATCTGCTTCAGTTCTGGAGCTCGGGTGGGTAGTGCCTGAAGCCCCGGGTGTCTCTGAAGATGCTGCAGGAGAAATGCGGTTGCTGCTTTGGTGGCTGAGGGTTCCGCAGACTGATGAGAAGTCCAGGCAAGATGAGCCGGAATTCTTAGAGGAGAGTTGGAACTTAGGGACATCTAGGGAGGAAAAAGGTATCATTAAAGTGAGAGCTATTAAGACATCAAAGGAAGCTGTATAATTTAGCTTATTTTAATGATGTAAAACAGCTTTATAAAATCATAGGGTCGGCCGGGATGTATTGAGGGTTTCCAATTTCACTCCCTGCTACCCCCATGCAACCTTCACCTTGAACTAACTCCTAAGTTCTTTCATCTCCGAAGTGCTTTCACAAACACTGCATTTGGACCTCAAGAAAATCACATGAGGCAGGTAGGGAGGTATTAACCATCTCCACTTGAGAAATAAATGAACCTGTGCAACAGGCCGGTTAGCAACTGTGCACATTCTTACAGCTCAAAGATGTCATCCCTGGCTCTGGGAACAGTGATGCTAAGGCCAGAGGGGGATTGGTAAAGTTCCCACATCTGATATCCTCTACCAATCCATGCATGCACACATTCTCTCTGAAAAGGTAAACATCGCATTCCAGCCAAAACTCACAGTGAGAAAGGATTTCTCCTTGACATCTGGTCGTGAGCAGGAAAAGAAAGAGGAAGGAATGGAGAGAAAAAGTGGTGATGTGAGCTGAGCTTGCAGGGAGAAAGAGTGATGTATGTCTTAAAGTTTGTCCCCATTTTGGCTCCAACTGCAGAGACAGGAGAAAACTGGGCGGGACATGGATACTGTAGCCACCCAGAACGAGGCTTCAGGTACTTCAGAGCTGGCTACCAGAGTCAAGTCGGATCATCTGTGACATCTCTCTAGTGCTCCGACCAGTATGTTTGCAATGCCCAGGGTGTCTACAAATCTGGGAAAATCCTACTCTAGACTTTCATTGACTCAGGAGTGGCATCAGCCAGTAACTGTTGTCTCTGGTCCCCTCCTGCAGATAGCTGGTCTCTTGTTCCACAAGGATGCCCCATGTGGACAGGGCTTGCCTCATACCCTACACCTGCCTGTCCTGTCTTTGGTCCTCCCTTAACTCTGACCCACCCCTCAAGGCCCACCTTCTCCCTGAAGCTCCACGTATTGATCTTCAGGGATTTCTCCATCCGTGGGAATCCTGAAGGCTTCTTCCTGAGTCCTCTGACTTATTGCTCTCGGGAATGAATATTCATTTCTGACTGTCATCCTTTGTCTCCCAGGGAGACTATGAGCTCCCTGTGAGCAAAGCCAGAGTCTCATACTTCATTGAGCCACAGGTGCCTGCCTGTGGGAGCTCCAGACAGGTTTGCTGAAGAGATTTTTCTGGGAAGGAGTGGGCAAAACTGGGGTTAAAAGTACCAAGTTGTTAGAATGCAAGAGGAGGGACTGGCATTGTGTCACGGTGGGTTAAGGCAACAATAACATCCTACACGAGTGCTCATGGCAAAGATGGCAAGTACTTGGCTCCTGCCACCCATGTGGGAGACCTGGATGGAGTTCCAGGCTCCTGGCTTCTGCCTGTCCCAGCTCTGGCAGATGTGGTCTCTCAGGGAGTGAAGCAATGGATGGAAGATCTCTTACTCTGTCCACCTCTTCCTCTCCGTAATTCTGCCTTTCAAATAAACAATTCTTAAAAAAGAGGGAGAAAGGAAAGAAAAGGGAGGTAAGGGAGAGTAGGGAGGGAGGGAGGGGAAAGGGGGAAGAAATGGGAATACATAATCTTCCCTCATTTGATGTTTTCGCGTTAAGAGTAGAGGAAGGTAAGATAATACAAAGGAATGTTGCTTTGTGTTCTTTTAGTAACAATGCAGATAAAAATAATACCTGTTGAATGAAGAAAAGCCTACTCGCTGGTCTACAAGAATGGGCTGGTCATGCCTCACCTGTAACAGTTTCAAAGCTAATCCTCTTACCGTGCAATACTTCTCTGTCACTGCACTGGAGCCCCCCACTCCCCTTCTCCTGTGCCCCAGGCAGTTCGCAGGCCCAGGCAGGCTGCTGGCTGCTCTCCTTTCTCATGGTGTGGCAGGTTCAGGGGCCCCCTCCCCTCCTCTTGGTGCTTGCTGCCACCTCTCCAGATTGTTGGGCTCTAGAAAGATGAGTTTTCTTCCCCAGTCTTGATTGCTGTCCTCTGGAAACAGGCTCATAAACCCTCTTCATTTTAAGGCTTTAACATTCACTATTACAAAGCAAAAGACAAGATTTAAGAGGAAAGCACAGGGATGCTATATAAAACGGGTGCAAACGCCTCAGTCTGGGTCTTGGCCTATCGTGAAATGATAACTAGAGGCCTGTTTTATAGCAATGTTGGGGCTCACCACACCTTTCCCTTCCTGCTGACCTTTGCCCTCTCCCGACATCGCCTGCAAAGCCCTGTCTTCTTAGCACACGGACTTAACAGCAGGAGCATCCAGCCAGGATGACTGAAGCCTAATTTCTTTTAAAAAAGTTATTTATTCATTTATTTTCGCTTTATTTGTCAGAGAGACAGAGACAGACAAATAGAGACATTCCATTAGTTGGTTTACTCACAAATGCCTGCAACAGCTCGGGTACGGCCAGGCAGAAGTCAGAAGCAAGGAACTCAATTTGGGTCTCTCATGTGAGTGTCAGAGACCCAAGCACTTGGGCCATCAGCTGCTGCCTCAAGGGTGTGTATTGGCAGGAAGCTGGAATTAGGAGCAGAGCCAGGACTCAAATCCAGACACTCTGATATAAAATACAAGCATCCCAAGCAGAATTTTAACTGCTGCAGCAAATGTCTGCCCTTTAAACCCTAAATTCAAGTGGTTAATGTGACTCCTGAGCACCTTGAGGTCAGGTGAGCCATATTTCACTATGGGACCTGTCTCTTACATGGGATTCTTCCCTCGGTAATGTCTTTCTTTTTTCTCTCTTAAAAATAACTAAGCCGGTTTATTTTCAAATAGGTTACTTCCCTACACTATTCAAAGGTACAAAGTGTTTCAGTAAAAAAATCTCCCTCTAGGGGCCAGCGCTGTGGCACAGTGGGTTAATGCCCTGGCCTGAAGCACCAGCATCCCATATGGGTGCCAGTTCCAGTCCCAGCTGCTCCTCTTCTGATCCAGCTCTCTGCTATGGCCTGGGATAGCAGTGGAGGATGGTCCAAGTCCTTGGGCCCCTGCATTGGTGTGGGAGACCCAGAAGAGGCTCCTGGCTCCTGGCTTCGGATTGGCACAGCACCAGCCCTTGTGGCCATCTGGGGAGTAAACCAGTGATGGAAGACTTCTCTCTATGTCTCTACCTCTCTCTGCAACTCTTTCAAATAAATAAAATAAATCTTAAAAAAAAAAATCTCCCTCTACCTCATCCCCTAGCCTCCCAGTTCCCTTCCTCAGGGGCAATTAAGGTTACTAAATTGTTTTATGTACCCTTCCAAGGAGTACTGTATACATATGCAATCACACATAAAAAGTACACGTATTCTGCTCCTCTGTCTTTTTACGGGCTTGGTAGCATCTTGCCCATATCAGTGTTCTTTGCTCTTTATGAGTAGGTGAGAGCATACGCATGGGCATGTGTATGGGGATGCCTGTTCCCAGTCAGCACATGAAGAACTTCCCCAGTTTTTCAATGGTTGTATAATATTCCATTTATAGAGGAACCATACTGATAGATATTTGGGCTTTCTTTTTTATTTGAGGGGCAGAGAGTGAGAAAGAGAGAGAGATCTCCTATTCAAAGGTTCACACCCCAAAATGCGTGCAATAGCTGGGGCTGAGCCGAGCTGGGGCTGATGCCAGGAGCTTTCAGGAATTGGGAATTCAATCCAGGTCTCCCTACCACATAGGTGGTAGGAACCCACTACTTGAGCCATCACTGCTGCCTCTCAGAGTCTGTGTTAGCATGAAGCTGAAGTCAAGAGCTGAAGCTCGGCATCAAACCCAGCACTCCAACGTGGGACACAGGCCTCCTAACCAGTGTCGCAACTGCTAGACCAACGCCTGGCCTTGGGCTGTTTCCCTTAGTTTGTTCTTACAAACAATGCTGTTATTAATGATCTTCACAAATGTGCAAGTCGCTTTGCCTTAGCCATCAGTTTTCTGGAGGGCTAATGGTAGCAATACTCACACAACTTACAAGTATTCCTATTACTGGAGTGTCGACACAGAGCAATCCTTCCTCCAGTTGGTCCTATGAAGATGGATGGACTCATATATAAATATAATATAAAAATATGCTTCAATATATTTTTCTATTCAATTAAACTTGACATTTGTTTTTCTAGAGCTATTAACCTGAGAATGTCGCTACATGTTGTTTCCATGTCCTCAAGTAGAAGGTCACAGGAGAAAAGATATGTAAGGCCATGCTTTTGACATTGAGATTTTCTAACACTGTTCTTGGCCCCCATTCTAGGCAATCAGTAACTAGATCCTCCATTGCCAGATCTGTCTCTGTACGCTGCTTTCCCTCCTGACCATCTGGCTCATATATTCAGCCCTCTTCAGAGTATGTACACCTGCAGTCCCACAGATACCCCCAATCTAACGTCTCCCACAGTGGTAAGGCACGAACATTAATACAATTAATACATTAATATAACTGCCCACCCAAGAGAGTTTTTCCCTGCAGGCTGTAAGCTCCTCGGGGTAGGGACTACACCTTATCACAATTGTATCCATATGCCTAGCTCAGTATGTACAAAATGCTTGTTGAATGCATGATTAAAAACAAAAAACAAACACTGGTTCTTCCTCTTCTTTCATTTCAGGGCAATGGCTGAAACCACCTTGCAAGTGGACCTGGAAGTGGGGACACAAAATTCCTGTCTTCAGGTTGAATGTTATTTTACTGGGCACAGAGGAGGAGGAAGCCAAGAGGGTACAACACTGAGGAGCTCAAGGAAGAGGAGGTCCTCAGGGGAGGTCAAGATCCAAGAAGAGACAGAAGAAACAGGAAACAACTTGTACATATAGACCTGTGCTTTCCACCCCCTAATTGGTATTTTTGCTGTCTTCTTATTTGTCAATGATGAACAACATCATTAAATAAACATGTGGATCAGTTAAGAGAACTGAAATACAGGGTGAGCATTCTTAATCCAAAAGTCCAAAGTTGGAGATGCTCC